AACCTGAATAGTGCTGAAATCAAATTGCAAATCAGATACTCATTCATTTGATTGAAGAAGCTAAATAAAAGAAAAAAACTTTTAGCTTGGCGCATGTCCAATGCAGTGCAATCAACAAGATATATTAGTTGATTTACTACTGTCTTTGCTAGCTAGGATCCGAATGCTAAATGATGCCGAAGATCGAGAAACACGTTCATTTGGTTGCTTTTTTCGGTTTGCTACAAATCTTATGTCTAGACTCTAGAACTCCTAAAACTACCTCTGTTTAGGCATTGAGGACAGTCCTTCCAACAGTGTTCCATTTGGACATGTTTATCCTTTACCCTCAATTAGGTTTTGTACCCTTGTCATGTAAGAGTGAAACAAGGAAAAAAATATACGCAAGAGTAAGTTTATGCTACTTTTCTTTAATTCTTTAAAGCAACTAATGTAAAGAGATAAAAGCAATACGGGAAGCAGGTGAAGAACTCTGATTTCAAATCTTCATTTCCTTATTTCTACTTGAATAGCAAAAGAACATAGCCACAGACGCCCAGAAATACCTATTTATTTAAGAAACTTCTCTGCTTTTCCTAGTTGGTTTTAGCCCCTATTTCATATGCAATCAGTAAAATTTCTCCATCTAATGTAATCTTCCCTTTTGTGCAGCTTAATCAAGTTAGATTTAAAGAGCAGTAGTGCTGATATGGAGCCAAATCAAGGCAGTTCTATTGAATGCGTCTGATCTGAATTTACCTACAAGTATATAGAACAGGTCAGCGTCTGTGTACATACTTAGTGTTGGAGGCAAGAGGACTTGGGGAGATTTCAGGATTCATAGAATCATAATACCAGCTTGCAATTTACTGAAGTTGAAGTTGCTCCATTTGTACTAGGAATTTCTGCAGTTGAACTAAACTTGGTCTATTCCAAAACATGGGCCATTTGGGTTTAGGTGCTTTTTGTGCACTGATTGTAAAACTTGATTTCAGGTATTAATATTTTGTTTTTTTTTGGATATATTCTCACTAATTTCAAGTATTATTATGTTCTGCAATTTTTTATCTTCTCAATATGTAAAGTTGTGTAAGGAGGACTTTGCATATACAAGGACTTGGAATCTACTTTTCAAACAGTTTTCCCAATACGCTTTGTTGAACATCTTAGGCAGATTGGAATCAGAAAATTTATAGGGAGGAAGATGAAATAAAGCTCATAGAGACATTTTGCAGCATGGGAAATCTTTGAAAAGATGACTCTGTATATAGTTATAGAATGACAGGTGTCGAACCTGTGTAATATTAATTACCTACTCAAAAAAAATACAAATTTGTATATAGCGGTAAGCAGGGTCGAATCCATAGGGACTGGAGATAATTCATTTCTTCCAGAGTCGAAGTATGGGGGATTTTGAAAATATAAAATAATTAATTAATCAACTAATGAAACAACTAATAGAAATAAACAGGAATTAATCAATAACCAATACAACTCTAGCCAAAGGTGCAACTTTTCAGACACGGTCCATTCAACTGATCATCGACGCAAAGATAATTCAGTTACTAATTAATAGATTGGTTATAGTTGTCATACACGCGATAAACAATAGTCTTTCCTTACTTTTTCGATAGTTAAGGTACAACCATTAACTATTTCCCTAACCAAAAAATAACTCTAGGTACGACCATTAACAAACATGCTATGAGGGTTCATTTAAGTTAGATCATACGTTTTTCTAACATGAAACCAATCACGCTAGTTGCCACTGGTATTAATCAATTGAACAATTACGGATTCAATCAATTAATCTGACAGTAGATTATTAGGTTAATTCGAATATCAGGCCCTTGACATTCAAATAACATAACAAGCATAAGAAGTTAAATCAGAAAATGCACAAATACCAATGAATTAAAGAAATAAGTAAAATAATTCGATCTCACAAATGTTTGGAACAAAATCCTCAAATTGACATTCGACTAGAAAACGAAGATTTAGCTACACATTCTCAGGGGAGATCCGCAAAACTCCATCGATAACCATTGGTTTTTCCCTAAAGACTCACTAAAGAAGAGACAGCGGCCATCTCCTTTTTCTTGTTCCCTCCAAGGTAGTAATCACGCGGGATTCCGGCTTTTTTTCTCTCTTTGTTTCCGAATTGAAGTCTACTACTTTGGCCATCCATTGGCCAACTAAAAATAAAATGCTAATTGCAAAAAGAAACTTCTCCAACTAATGCTAATTGTTCCCTAGTAAGACATCTAATAAAAAGTGGTAGTTTCCTAATTTTCATCCAATACTCGACGTAAACTTCATCTTGAATTGGAAAACTCTTGAAAAATCACCTCTTTTATTACTTTTTGCTCCACCTTCCTACAATTGACACAAAATACCAAATATAAGTAGAATCAATCAATTAATACAATATTTGGTAATATAAACGAGGAAAATAATCATAGAATTAATGACAAAAATGCAACCTATCATAGAACCTTTGAAGTCTTCATCAGAAGGTCGCAACACCATATTGTCATTCAAAAAATGTTCCATGGATTGCCGGTAGAGTTCCAAGATAACTGGACTGAATTAAGGAATCGGAAATACTGAGGTGACAAATATGTGTCCATATGACTAGTTTAACTCTCTCTCTCTCTCTGTTATATTTTTTTCTGCTTCTCCTTTTTGTGGTGTTCTCTTGATGAAATCTTCTTTTGTAATGACTTATTGAAGTTACGATTTCTTGGATGGTTAATGAGCTAAAAGAAATTTGGATTGCCAATTGATTTCAAGCACTTCCTATTGTATGGCTCAAGATGTTGAAAGAGCTGGATGTTGATGTATTACTTTGCTAGCAATTATTTTTAGCTAACCAAAGCTTTTGTATGTTTTCTATTGAATGTTTATCAAAGTAGCAAAATGGGGTTTGTTGGCAAAAAGTGATATTCCAAAAAGCTATCAAATAGCAGGGCTTATGAGTTTAAATTTAATGAGCAGCTACGTTAGTCATGATTCATTAAAAAAAAATTTTTTTGCCAAACAATTTGATACTTATAAGAACCTGGAAAATGTACAACAGACACGTGAGAAGCCAAATTGAAGCTATTTGCAGCTAAATTTTCTAATAAAACCACCCAGTAATTTGCTCAGAGAATATTAGCATGCTAAAATGGGATTAAGAAATGTTCATAACAGCATTGGAGAGGAACATTTTCCCACCAAACAGTTAGGCAATAATCAATTATCACTTATTAGAGAGGAAACTTTCCTGGCCAAAAATGTTTTGCTGGTACGTGGGACATTGCAGATTTGTCAAAAGACTCCTTGCTAATTCTATACTATTAGTGAGGATGCGCTATTTTTCCTAGCAAAACACCTTGACTATTTGCAAGGAACTACTGGTTTTTGTGAGGAGTTTTTAATTTTAGTGGTGAGAAAAGTTTTTCTCGCCATAGTATTTGAGCTATTAGCGAGGAGGTCAACCCTTGCTATTGATCTGTTTCATTAGCGAGGATGCTGCTTTTCTCGCCAGAGTATTTGAGCTATTAGCGAGGAGGTCAACCCTTGCTATTGATCTGTTTCATTAGCGAGAAAAACAGCAGCATCCTCGCTAATAACTTTTAGCGACAAGCATCTAGCAAGAAATTTGGCGAGGAAGCATTTTTCTCGCTGAAATTAATTGGCGAGGAATTCAAAACTTTTGGCATGGACTTTTGCTCCTCGCCAAATCCCTTTTCTGTTGCAGTGATATGGTATCTCTCTTTATATCTATCCTTACTAGATATAGACTTGTTCAAAGTTGTTGGTTCTTTTAATTTACATTTGGACACGCAAAAAAATAAATAAATAAAGAACTTCAAAGGAAGCTTGGTACTAGAAGAAACTATCCGTTGCTGGTCCACAAGAATTAAAAAAAAAAACATGAAAGCTTACAAAACACGCATACGTTATAGTTCTTATAACAAATCAATTAATTAAGAAGTCTTAGATATGAAATGTCAACAATACTAATTAAGTCAGATGAAATGTCAACAATACTAACTTGGTCTTAGATATGAAATGTCAACAATACTAACTTGGTCCCCATATTAAAGTCAGATGAAATGTCAAATATGGAAAAAAAAAAAAGCAACTCATAAAGCTGGACGAAGCAAGTTAAACTATCAGACTGATTTCTACGCAAAACCCGAAATTGTAGAAGTCTTGTTAGCTAATGTTAGAGCTGGTTTTAACGATTCATAAGGTTTATGAACTAAGTGATAAGAAGGAATAAATTCTACTAGACCTAATAAATGTCTAGTTCAAATTAATAGCAAACCAATTACTAGACGCCTTGGTAACCGTTAAAATCAATCATTGAGATTTAATATGAGGGGTTACAAAACTCATGCTTAGGAAATAAATGCAATGTAATTAATATAAATCGAACAAGTGAGGGAATTTTGGTGTCGGTTAGCTTTGAGAATTAGCTACTATAATTTATTGAATTGGGAGACAAATTAACATGTGGAGTTATTGATAAGTGATAGTATTAAATATTTGTAAAATTTAAAGTATAGTTCGTAAAGTATAATGTATCAAGAATTTATTACGTATTTTTATAGTTTAGTTGAAAAGTATGAATATTTTGAAATATATGAACTACACAAGCTTTTATTGTGTTATACTTTTAAATGTGTATTGTACAAGTGTAATAGAAGCATTTACTAACTAGGAAAATTCGTATAAATGAAGCATTTCCACCAAAAAAATCTTGAACGAAGCTAAAGGTAAAAGAAAACAACATTCAGATCTCCAAATGGCATTCAATTCAAAATCTTGATGGCATCCAAAAATCCATTTTTGAGGGACTTTGTTTCCTTTCTCAGGAGCAGGATTGGGTACGTTTCACTCCGTCGATGCTGAATTCTTTCACATTGTAATGGCATGGCACGATGAAGAAGCACATATATACATATAGTGAACATTCTGCACGTCTTATATCAATCACACTAAATTCTAGCAGGTCCAAGGTGCAGAAGTTTCTGATGTAACTGAGATAGAGATCATCAATTGCAGTAGATGATCAAGTAGATTTATTTATTCAACATGACAACAACATAAGAAGAGCACTCGAACTGAGTACTCATTACATGCTTCCCCTGTTGATTCTACACCAATTCAAAGAGAAGCCGCACAAGTCTTTTACACATATAGGAAATCAACCATCAAAGGCAAACACAACATAACATATTAAGGTAATAATATAGGTGTCACGGATCCTGTGTCACACCCTTATTTATTTAGCATTAATTTTTGACCTCATCTCCGGATGTAGCTTCAGGGGTCTCCTCAGCAGGTGGACAGCATCTTTGGCAATATCCATAGTACCAGCGGCAGCAACCATATCTGCATGGACAGCATCTTTGGCAATATCCATGGTACCAGCGGCAGCAACCATATCTGCAACGATCTGCGGTGACGGTATCCTCATCTCCAGATGTGGCTTCAGGGGTCTCCTCGGCAGTTCGACAGCATCTTTGGCAGTGTCCATGGTACCACTGGCAGCAACCATGTCTGCAACGATCTTTGCCTGAACTGGCATCGTGGACACCAGTGGTTTTCACGCTCTTCTGATCTGTTTCAAGACACAAGGAGACATAAATATTTGGAGCTTTATCTTAAGCTGCGAACGTTAGGTGACCGGCTAGGCTGAAAATTTGCAAGATATATGCAAAGAAAAGAATACTATGGATTAAACAAAACAGTCCAGGCATATAAGATGGTGCGACTTGGATATGAATTATTTGCTTTAAATTATAATTAGAAGCATTTAATTTGGTTTTCGACGTTAGTTTAACCTTTGGTGCGACACTATGGAACGTGTATCCTTACAGCAATACTATAAGGATGCATGAAAAATCAGATGTGCCACTAACCATTGATAGAAGCAACCCAATTTACTTTTGCTAAACAATGAAAAGGATATTAGCACATTAATATGACTTGCTTGATAATATACAAATAGCCTTCCATAAAAATTCACATCCCAATAATGAGTCTCCAAATCTCCATTCATTTAAGTATTTAGGTGCAGCCAAAAAAAAAAAGGAAGAAAGGAAAAAAAAAAGGGACTAGGTACCTGCAGCTGTTGCATCAGAGGAAATGAGGAGCACAAGTGCAAAGAGAACACCAATAAGAAAGAGCAAATTTTTTGAAGATGCCATTTTTATCACAATCTCACTCAAAATGTAAATAATGTGCTAAATTATTGATGTCGAGTGATAAGTGCATTGAGTTGGTGCCCTATTTATAGGAACTAGGAGGGGAACGCCACGCCTTGCGTGGAATGAGTATTTTAGGGTTAATTTCAAAAACCTCCCTTGAGGGTTTTCATAATTTCACTACCACCCTTGTTATATCCAATAATACAATGAGCTCCCTTCTGATGTTGATGGGACCTAATGTCAATATCATCAGGGGCAAATTGACCATAATGCTCTCACTAAAATAGCTTTTTTAAACATTATCTTAGAAGCGCAATATAATCTTCCAATCTTACCAAGATACCATCAAAGCCAAAATTTAACAACTTTCCTAAAAGTAATTTCTCTGTTGGTTTGTGAGACTTGGAGAAGAGCTTTAGGAGCTGAACTTTAAGCTCCGAAAATCTTTAATTGGTGAAGGAAGATTGCTGCCAAAAGTGCGTTATTAGCTATATTCCTTGACATCTATAAAGGTAAAGGTGGAAATTTTTTAATTTAATGGTATGGTACCATGAATAAACTCGTTAAGTTGATAAGATGAACATTCTGGCCATAAGATATGTTTAAATGTAGCCAGTAGACATGACGAGTCATTTGAGGTCCACACCATGAATATCTTGATGTTATATGAGCAATTTATGATGGATAATGCCATGCATTATTGTTCTTTCTATAATGTGAAAATGGATGAAATATACATAGCTGGTGAATTAATTAGACTGAATGGATTTTGATATGTGAGTACGACTTTCTGATTGGTTGCTCATTTTTTATCTTCTAGGACAATCTCCCAAAATAAGTTTCTATGGTGTTTCATTGTTGAATCACGAACATTCCTATAGTAAAAATTTAGTCTTAAATCAGGTTGAACTAATTATATGGAGGGAAAATTTTAGATACTAAGTGACTGATTCACTCCTCATTTTGTCATGTAGTCCCAAAAAAAAAAAAAAGGCTTAAGTGGCTAATTAGTTTGTTAATAAAGACCGTATAAGATCACCTCCAAAAGTAAGCTGTTGTATTATCTCTTTGTTGAGTTTTTATCATGAACATTTTTTAGGAAAATTAATCTTCAATTAGCTTGGACTACATTGTCTTAAATTAGTTAAGTTTTTGCGGTAGAAAAAAGAAATATGTTGTACAATATAAATTCACTTATCTAGTTAGATTACTTTTTTCGATGCCTTTATCTATTGACCACTAATTGAAATCCACCGTGAATGTTGAACAACTAAGATGGGAACTGTTTCTGCTCATGACATTATTGTGCATTAATTTTTTTTAGTTGCTGTGTGATCGATGAATTTCTATAATGTACAAGGTCGATCGTAATAATAATTCCTTGGAGTACTCCAGGGGTCGAACCTGCAGGAGTGAGTTAATTTTTCCTACTTTAATTCCTCTAATAAAAATAACAAAATTTAAATTCAGAGATTTTTAATCACTAATTAAGAAATTAAATAAATAATCAAATCAAACAAGATATAGGTGAGAAAACAATTAGCAAAAGACTAGAGTTTTAAATTTTGATTCAGAATTGGAATTATTTATCCAATTATTTTCTTAACAAGTCAAAGATGTATCACGTAAAAGTACTTTAGATTATCTGTTGATATTTCTAAATTTGTCTAATGAAATCTCGCGTTGCTCTCGAGATTATAAGTATTTAATTAAATCCTTTAAAATATTAGGTGATATAATTATGCCATACAATGTTTAACCCACTTTCATGATTATACTAAGTATGTTTATCTATCTAATGTACGGTTGTATATCACTTCTCAACTCAATACAAATCCTAAAAGCATATCTATAGTGGCAAAACATAAACATGTAATAAAGGCAAGATAAATAAATCTAAGCAAAGCGAATAATTTATCTAAAACAAATAATTAAATCTCCTTCACAAAATCCTAACTTTGGATATAAATGAGTTCAACATATTCATAGATAAATCCAAGAATTCAAATGAAAGACAAAATAATTAAGAAGTTAAAAGTAAGAAAACTTCTCAATTTTTCCCCGCTCCAATCTCCATCTTGAACTCCTTTGATTTTTCAACACTTCCATTGTGATCTCTCAAGAAAAGAAGGTATAAAAATGATGAACTAACTTTAGCCAAATGCTTTCCAATCTAAAAACATCCTAGATTGTCCTTATAGTCTCTCAAAGTTGTATCCGAAATATGGTAAGAATGGGTCTTGAAAACTTACCAAAAATCGAGTTTGAGTGGGTTTTCCAATCATTAGAACTAGAAGAAGTCCTCGCAAAGTCCCTTTCAATGTTTGGCGTTGGACATAGGATCCACCCACGGATCCTTGTGTCTTGGCATTCTTCCCCTTTTGTTGCGTTTCGATTCATTTCCTCCTCAATCGCGTGCTTTTCCCACAAAAACCAACATATACTTAAATTAGGCAACATCCATTCAAAATATAGCTCAAATACAACCATTCATTGACAATTAATAAATATAAACCACTGTAATTTGTAGCTTATCACTGTGCTTCACGGCTTTGGAATATTTCACTGCTCTGCGAAATGGTCTATTCAATTTGTTCATTCACTAAGACTTTTATGCTATTTCCATTCAAAAGCAATAGTATAATTAGCAATGGTCATGTGATAATAAAGATCAGAGACTCAAAAAGGGCTCTGCCATGCTTTTGCCTCCAACCACATGCAAAGCATCCAAAATTGAAGTTTAGTGTATAGAATAGAAAAGTGATTCAACTTCGGAGGGACAAAGTGAAGTTTGTCCTATGTTACAATATTTCTTTTAGGGTCTCCAAGGGAAAATATGGAATAAAATGTGATGACACCATTTCTTGTCAATTTATTCCATTTCTTTTACATATATGGGCTGAATTGGTCACTGGTTAAAGTAAGAGTGGTCAGCGTAATATTGAAAATAAGAGGGGTACTAGCTGAAATTGTCCAAAACTTCAGGAAAGGTCTATGAAATTATCCAATAGTTTAAGTAGCTGTGCAAGAGCGTCTCCTCTCTGTTTCCTTGAACGAGCTAAGAATAGTAGTCGAATTCCACACTTTATTATTATTGACTAATGAAGCGTCCACGTCTCAATTCTCCGGACGCAGGAATAAAGAATTGGGCCCTAAAGAATTTATTGTCCCTGTACAAGTTGCAGCCTTTCTCGACTGCTAAAGTTGATAATTGAACTAATGATAATTAAGAATGATAAGATAATGTGGCCATTTCTCAATCAATCTCCTTTTTATTGTTTGTTTAAGTAAGATAGACGTTCCTGTGAATATCATCATTTAAAAATATTTTTGTATTGAGTGAATTGGACTGCCCTAAAAATATCATCACTCAGTATTGCTTATCACTCAGAGGAAATTCTGGAGATTCCTATTAGTATATCAGGAAAGGATGATAGCAATTACTGGATACATAGCGGCAATGGCATCTACACTGTCAACTCAGGTTACAAGGCATTGTGTAGAGGAACTGTTCAACACAAAGGAAGAAGAGAGAATGAGGCGGAAATAGTATAGCAAGTTCCTATGAAAAGCAATGGAAGTGGATGTGGAGGCTGAACGTTAAGAGTAAGATCAAACATTTCCTTTGGAAGTGCCTACATGGTTTATTACCAGTCAACAGCCTGGTTTTTAAAAGAACACACAAAGGTGATCCAATCTGTGGTGGCTGTGGTGAACAAGAAGAGTCAATTGAACACATGTTTTTCCAATGCAGCAAAGCACAAGAGGTGTGGAAAATGGCTCCATTACAATGGGATGGGTTAAGGGAACAGACAGGGAATTTTCAAGCTTGGTGGACTGCTCTTCTGGAAGCTACATGCAGGACAGAAGGAAAGGAGCATATAGAGCTCACTGTGAACATCCTCTGGCAACTCTGGAAAAGGAGAAATGAATGGCAGTTCAATGCCAAACACAGGCACCCTTGGAAAACAATCCAAAAGGCTCAACAGGAATGGCAAGAACAAAAAGCTGTCCAGAGCAAGCAGAAAATATTCACTGAAGATGCGGTAAGAGCAGATGAGAAAGTTGATCCGGAGGAGGCAAGAAGGAATGAAATTCAGATCAGAATATCAACTAAGGTGCAAGACCAAACCAACAGAGTTGGAATGGGGATTTTTGCATCTACTTTCAACAATCAGTGGGTGGCTGCCTGGGCACTTATTGACAGAAAAACAGTGCATCAGATGCAGTCTACTGCAGAAGCTGTGAAAATGGCCATCATAAAGGCTAGACACCAGCAATGGAAGGAAATTGTTGTCCACATCCCCAGCCCCCAACTACTGAAGATGATAAAGGAAAGGATGGCTAAGGACATCAAAATGGCTACTTTGATAGACGATATTAACGACCTCAGGTCCTTATTTCAGAAATGCTCCTTTTGCTTAGATAGGAGCTTAGACTCTAGATGTGAAGTGATTAGTGATTATGCTTTGGGCATATTTCAAGATGAGGAATGGATTAATCCTCAGTGTGTCTAACACTCTTGTATAGAATTCCTTGAGCCTTTGCTCATATAAGTTTTTTTGCCAATCAATACAAAAATCTATCGTTGCAGGAAAAAAAAAAAAAAGTAGGTTTTCGATACAATTCAGTATTGCTTAGTCAGATTTTTCCAATTTCTTGTTTGAATATATGAAAAATTCTAGCTTGGGCTTATTTGAAATTGTTAAATCTAAGGAGCCCTGTTGTTCTCGTCAATTCTTTGTGTTTATGGAACATTTTGTTGAGTAGGTAATGAGATTCAAGGATGGTTTCAAGAAATTCATATATTTGGGATATATTTTGAAATTTATCGTACATTTACCTTGAAGATCAGAAGAAAATTGAGGCAGAGTTGAATTATTACTAAGAATGGTTAAGGGACTTAGCATTAAGCTAAATCTAGAACAAAGGCTAATTTATTTTGAGGTGGATATTGAAGCAGCTGACATCAAATGGATCTGGCTGCTTAAGTCTTTATCTTAAAGTACTTAATTTACCAATGCTCTCCATTTTAGCAATGTACTTAATTTAG